GATAGCGTATCGATTATATCATTAGTCAGTATACAGAGTCAAAACAATAACTTCAACATAGATGTCACGGCCACGTGATTCTATGATGATCGCCAACCCATAATCATTAACGGGGGAAGCGTTGGACGAATGGGGTGCAGATACCGTCGTCTGTAAAAGAGAAAAAACGATAGAACCTGGCTGCTTGTGGGCCCTTTAGCGCCGGCCCCAACGGGCAATAAGCCTATGGGAGATATTATTATATTATTATTACCATATGACAATCCAGTCTCAAAGGCCATATATCGAATGATAATATGTGGATTTTCATCAATTAATGCACGAATAACTTCAATATTTTTATCAGTAGTTTCGGCTACGGGTCGACTGATTCTTGGATAATCGTCTGAAGAAGTTCTACCTAGTTTAAAGCGAGGAATTCATTCGGCTACTGTGGTATAAGATACACAACCATCACCCCAAGCATCATACAATTCTTCATGAATTCGTGTTGCGTTAAAGTCAAGTTTGAAACTTGTATATCCATGTAAAAATACAGCATTCAGAAAAAATAAGCCTCTAATTCAGCAAAAGCAAATGAAAAGTGTTTAATGTTCTCGGTTAATAGGCCAATCCTAGTGCTATTTAAATATTATAAAAAGATCCCTTCATCAAGTCTAACAGAGAGAATATATGGTAGTTCCCGGACCTTTTGGACCACCCTCTAATTAATGAGCATTTCTTTCTTTTTATATCGATTGGAATGTAAAACTTTTTGTCTTCATTGATGCTATTATTGAAAAATATAAACCACATGTGGCACACAGTCGTCGTTGAATATCCTGTTGTAATGATAGATAATAACGATCAAATGGTAAATAGTCCATCATTAACTTGCCTTTAAAAAAGGTTTTGTAAATGTAGACGTTCAAATAAATTAAAAAAATTAGAATTATTTTCGTCGAATCGTGATGGAATTCGACCTAATGTTGATACTTGATAGGCAACATGCGATGGAATAAAACGTTGATTCAGTATTTGAAAATAATAGGATCGCCACGGTTTGCAACACATTGTATTATTACACCGAACAACTTGTAATAAATATTAACTCAGGTGAATATGTTCAGAAGCCCACAATAAATCTTCAGATTCATTTACATCTGCCAGGTTATCAATTTTCAGCTGAGACCAAATTTGTGATAATGCTTCTCGTGAAAAAGAATTGTACATATGTTTCCTTTTGTTAAAAAAAGAAATACCAGCTAGTTGAAAATTTCGAAGTTCTAATGCATCATCAATGATTTTACTGGAGTCATCTAAATGATTATCGTAATAATCATATGAAAGAATCTGTCCTAAAATATCGTAAGTATCAAAAATGCTTTACCAGACAATTCATGAGATAATGGAGCCATTCTTCTTTCTACTTCATTAAACGCTGATCGACCAGGTGCATTTGTAACAATAAATAAAGCATCAAGATTATATTTTTTTGAAGATTAATGTCGCTGCTTCGATAGTTTTCAGATATCTTGGATTTTCATCTGGACCATCATCAGCAGACAAAATGACAACTGGTTTTACTACTCCATCCGGTAGAGCAACTTTTTCAAAATCAGGCAATTGTACGAGTGTGTCGAAATCATTTGCATGTGCTAATTAGAGCACTACTATGATCATGTTTACCAGATCGAACTGCTGCAAATATTGGATCACTATATGATACACGTTCATCATTGATTATAAGGACAGGCACCATGTATACTAAAAAAAGGAATGATTATTGAATATTGAAATAGGTAAGAACTATGGATACTCACTACTTGGTATTAATTAGTTTTTTGGTTTCATCAAATTATTATCTCACTGATCTTACCTAGTAAACCAGACTGAGATTCTTTTAGAGACTAGGTTTGCCGGATGTAGTATGACGAACAATTGATGTAATTTCTTGAGTTATTTCAGGATGATTATCAAGCAGACGTGCCATACGTAAACGCCGATTTTTTCTCATTCTGCATTGAGCAGCTTGATTCGTTTTCAAACGATTTATTGCATATTTTAATTTAGATCGAGTTTTCATTAAACCATTTAATTCTTTACAATTGTCAGATCTCCATAAACCAGTTGATTTTAAACTAGTTACTGCTGTTATTGGTTCATTAACTGTGTTTAATTCATTTTGAATGCTTTGCTGCTTGAAACATTTTAAAGTGAAAGACACGTGTGTTTAATTCATATTTGATGGAAAATTTGAAAATTTAACTCTAGGAACTGAACTTTGTGTACTTGACCCAGAAGATGATATTGAAGATTCGATAGATAATGATGATGCAGATGCTTTAGCTAGTTCACAAGTAAATATTGGTGTGCAGCAGATAATGTAAGTGGCGATGAATTCTTTTTATTCGCCCACAATATGCCAAAAGGTGAAGATAATGATTGATTTGCTTTTAATTTACTTCGCATGTTCAATATCTCTTTTTTAACTGTCTCCGGTTCATTTTTTTAATCAGATTCCATGTTTTTTGAGCATTTTGAAATGCTACCTATAGACGAAAAAACAAATACAAAGAATCAAATATTGATACTGGATGTTCATGTCTCTTAATATCCAATCATCATTCGATCTTATTTTTATATTAAATTATAGAGCCACTAGCGTTTTTTCATCTAAGAAAAAGCAATATTATACAATTATTGATGATGTCATTATTACAATAGACCTCCTTCGTCTTGACCATCATCAAAAGTCATTTTTTGAAGACCCCCTCTCCCCATCTAGTGATGACGTAATATGTGAACAGTCCCTACGGGCAGTTTACATATTATGTCATCAATTTTTCTTGCGTTTTCGACCCCACCTCTCATATATGATCACTTGTCGTTGTTTAAAGACCCCTCCCTCCCCTCATGATGTCATCAGAATAAGGTTTTTATGTTTTTCACAGTATTCACAAGACGCTCTCTGGTGAGGCTTTTGTTCCTATAAAACAAGACGAGTTTTATGTGTAAATTGTTCTTTATTTAATTCTTTCGTTTATGAATCATAGTTTTAACAAGATAAAAGCATAATTAATAAATAAATCACGGTGCACTGTAAATTTAAAGTAACGAGTGTCCCAAAAAGAATAAGTATCTTCGTATTTTGATGACATCTCTACGGGGTTGCCAACTGAGGAAAGTCTAAAAAGCGGAAACCGATTTTGTTGCAAGTTTTTAGAATTTTTTTGAGAATATAAGTATGTTTTTTTTCATATACATTGCATTCTTTTTTAATTTAGCAAAGTTTCAAAACATGGAGGACAGCAAAAAAAATAGAAATTATACTAAACACGCTGTTTTTTGAATGTATATTTGAATCACCTGAATAATGTCGAAAGTAAAAATGTTGAAAGAGAAATAATCGAAAATAAAGATTTCGAAGGGAATAAACGTGAAAAAGCAAAGACACCGACAAATAACCTGTCCACAGCAGAACTCTCAAAAATAAGCACTTGTAACACAAAACTATAGAAGTTCCATACTGATATAGGATTAGTGAAAAACAAACATAGAATGCGAGATGGTGTGAACGATCGGTAAATAGATGAAGAACATTTACACTTAATACGATCGGATGACGAGGAGACGTATCGTAAGCAGAGGGAGAAATATAAAGCACTGTCTACAAAGAATTAACAAACAATAGAATGCTTGTTATACATATATTCGACTACGCGCACAAGTAGTAAATAAAATTTGAAGCACTTATTCATGGCCACCAGAACAGATATATCTGGCAAAGAGAATGTTATTATAAATTTTACAAAATCAAATAAGGGTCAATTACTGCTAGAATTAAATAGTTACTTATACAAATGTACTAAGAAAACTGGAAACAAAAAGTATTGGATTTGTACGTATAAGAAATGTAAAAAAATCAGTGCATACAGATACAAATAATGTTTACTTGTGTGGTGGTACAGAATCACATGATCATGAACCAAATCCCAATACAATAGCAGCGAGAAACATTCGAAACAAAATAAAAGAACGAGTTCTTCAAGAAATTACACCAGTATCTATTATCTGTGAACAAGAGATTTCAAATTCATCGATAAATTCAACGACTCACGACTGATGCAAAAGTCTTGGCACAAATGTCAAGCTTTGCTGTAGGACAACGGTACATGCTATGATCCTAATTTTTTTTTAATTGAAAGAGCAGATTAAGTTGTCTCTAATTACATATTACTTTCTATAGTTTTAGATAAAATGGTCAGAAAAAAAGCTGAATCAGAACAGCTTGCAAAACAGGTTGTAACCTTGTATAAAAATGAAAGTAAAGAAGTTTTAAAACATACTGTAAACCATTTCAAAAAACAAAAATCCCGGTCAGAACAGTTTATAATATCATTACAAAGTACCGACAACATAATTCAACAAGTTATTTGCCAAAGAGTGGTCGTCCAAAAAAAATTTATAATCAATAGCTAAAACCCTGGTTCAAAGGGTGGAAAACAAGGTGGGGGTGAGTCAACGTCGTCTTGGTCGTCAACTTGGTGTTAATCAATCAACAATTAGTCGTAACTTGAAGAAACGAACATCGGTCAGAATTCATAAAAGAAGATCGACTTCGAAATACAACAATGAAGATCAACAACGACGAGCAAAATCTAACTGTCGAAAGTTATACAAAAAAATTCTCCAGCTTGTCAACTGATTTTACATGATAAAAAATATTTTACACTAAGTGGCAATGTTCCTGGAAATAGTCGATATTACTCGTCAGACCCTTTATCAACACCAGCAAACATTAAATTTAGACAAAAACAAAGATATGAACCACATTTATTGGTTTGGCTTGGAATCTCCCCTCGAGTAGTTTCCAGTTCTTACATTCATCGTTCAAAGGTCGCTATACGCGAAGAAACCTATTTAAAACGATGTATTCGTGGTCATCTTCTTCCTTTCATCAAGAAATATCATCAGAATGGCAATATTCTGTTTTGGCCTGATCTAGCGTCAGCCTATTATGCTTCTCCTGTGCTCCACTGTTTGGAATCAAATAATATACCTTTCGTTGGTCGGTGCTAGGACAATTCGTCGCAGGATAAAATCTTTACAGGACAATTCGTTGCAACGATCATTAACCAGTGCACAGTGCAACAAAATCAAGTATCAATATATGAAAGCCCACTAAGTAGAAAATTGTCTCCTACATAGATAAGACTCCATGGAAACTCCTATTAACACACAAAATATTTAGTTTCTCAAAAAAAAAATGAAGCAATCTCACAAAAAACTGTGGACAAAAACAGTTACTCCACATAAAAAATTATACAAATCATCCATCTCTCAATCACACATCCATATCATAATTCTCACCCACAATCTACACTCATATCTATACCATCACTCACAATCCACACCCACATCTGCACCCTCATTTACTCACATATTTCACTAACTATGCTGTTGCAACGAATTGTCCGGTCACCTCGTTGGTCGACATCAAAATCCTCCCAACGTACCTCAATGTCGTCCGATGGAGGCAATTTGGGCTTTGATTGAACAAATGGTGTATCAGGGAGGATGGTAAGCTAAAAATTTGAACCAATTATCAAATCGTATTAAATCCAAAATAAAACAATCAGATCAAATTATGGTGACAACTATGGTTCAGGGCGTTCGAGGAAAACTTTTAAAGATGTATCGAAAAGGTGTATATTCAGTTTGTTAAAGTTTTTTTATATTATCTATTTTTCATGCTCTTTCTGATAAAAAGTGAACTAGCACCATAGCTTTTACCGTTGTTATACAGTTGAGCTCGACATTTGTGCCAAGACTTTTGCATCAATCTTTATAGCTATAATATCTACATGTCAAGAGCTTGGTATGCTTGTTAAACGTGAATTTGACTTCTATTTTCTTCATTATTTTCAGCTGCAACTCTAACTAAAGTTCGAGCCAAGGCAGTACCTTTACTTCCACAGTCATTTTTGTTCGACATTCCTGATGAATTTATAATAACACTTGATGGCAGACGTTTCTTACTTATGGATGATTCAATTGCACGTCGTGAAAGTATTTTATTATTCTCAAGTGATCGTCAATTGGATCTATTGTTTTCCTCACCGATTGTGTATATGGATGGCACTTTTTCGAAAGCACCAGCGCATTTTAAACAAATATACATCATACATGCAGTTTTATTTGATATATGTAAGAAAAAATGATCATCTTTCAAAAACAGTTCTTTTTGTTCTAGGTTTACCTTGCGTTTTCTGCTTATTGGTCAATAAAAAGGCTGCTGTTTATAGGCATATATTTACCAAACTGAAGAAAAAGGCATTAGAGTGAAATAAAGTTTTTGGTTCTCAGGTTATTATTACTGATTTTGAAACATGAGTTATACCAGTGATCAAATCGGAAGTAAGAAATTTGTCATAATTCAAGTAAATTTATTCTTTTCATTCGTAATTTCCAGCTGTTCATCATTCTGCTTGCTTTTTCTATTAACTTATTTTGAAAAGAATTGACTTTCTAATATCGATTTATGGAACGTGTCACGATGTGATACGCGTACCAACAACGTATGTGAAGGTGAGGATATCAAGTAAAATTCCAAAATTATGCCTTTTCTTCTATAGGATATCACAATCGGACCAATTGTCGAATTTATAAAAACCATCCTGATATTTGGCTGTTGATCAAATTTTTGCAAAAAGAGGAAAAAGAGTAGAATGTATATCTATTCAATGGTCAGCCGGTGCATCTCGAAAGAAAAGTCCTCGTACAATTTCTATGCAGCACCATATTCAACACTCTTTACAGTCGATATGATACTAATCAGATCGATCAATGCTTCTCAACTTTTAAAAGGACTCACAGTGTTTGCAGCCAGGAAAATTAAATAATGATATATACGCATTACATTTTTTTCAGTTTCATGTTGATTTGTCCACCACTCGTTCAATTTTACATCCGTTAAGACCTTTTCTTTGTGAAAGTTGCTCGATTTTTAAACATTAATAAATTCTTCATTATAACAGTACAATAACAAATTTCCCCTACACCATTCACCTACATTAATTTCGACATATTACTTTCGACATATTACTTTCGACATTTTAGTTTTTCGACCAAATTCAGGTTAACCGTATATTTTTTGTAGAACTAATTGCTCCCAGTAACTCTTTTTGAGACAACAAATGTTAATGCATATCCGTACATGACAATGAGGAATTTTGACGGATTTTTTAGTTCAGCAGCTATTGAATCGACTGGCATTCGATTACGAGAACCATTAAGTAAATGCTTCATATCCGAAAAAATACTTTCTATAAATGCATTACTAGCTGGAATCGAATACAAAAAACAAATCAATTTCTTCATATTTGCTGTTGCTGTCCTATTAACAGCAAATAGCATTCCCCATAACTGATCTAATCGAATCAATTTTGTTGGTTCTTCCTCATCTTCTTTGTCTTCACTTTGATGAATTGAGGTTGTCGTTGTCGATGATTTATGATTGTTTTTTCTCCTTCATTGGAAAGAAAAAATTGAATCTCTCAGCCGAGCAAAAGGCGGGTAAAAAGACTAGTCTTTTATCTAACCCAGTCGGCACGTCCGGTACAGTCTTTTTCTCCAAACGGACTGCTAGATGACTAGTCCGAAATCGTTTGCAATGTTTAGCACCGGTCCGGGCCCGTCCGAAATAGATTGTAAATTAAATAAATGCAGAAACATCGGATTTGCATCCGATTGTTATGTGTACTTCAAAAAGCGAAAATGTACATCCATTTTTTTCTATAAGACATAGATCTTATCAAGATACATACCTTGTCACTAAATTACAAGGAGAAAATACAGGCGTGCTAAGTTAGCATGGACCACACACTATGCAACTCTATCCAGTGACAACTGACTCTACTGTCAGAGTGATATAATATCTTTAGAGATCGCATAAATTATGTTCCGATTCGTGGTTAGCTTGGAAAATTGGGTAATAAGAGTTATTTTTGAATGGATTAGCGTTTGTATCTAGCGGGATTACGGTGGTAAGCAACCTCATGAATCTGTAAGAGATATATGATAGATAGAGGTATCAGTATTTTCTTAATAAATCACCAATATTAATAGCTATCGAGTTCGGGTTTTTACCTTTCGATAGTCCTTTTGATTATCTACAAAATCAGGCATTTGCGAAACCCCAAAACTACTGGTCATCTAAGACATATTTAGGCAATTTGGTTTCTAAATCCAGCTTTTGTGCATTTTGAGACGTTTTTCAGACGATGTTTTGTTAGAAAGCTACGATTTGGTTCAAAACTAATATCAGATTCGGAATCAGCGTTAAAAACTGAGTCGATCTATACATGATGTGACTAATTCTAAGAAAAATTTTTTTTTTCAAAAATCCCTGTACTCTCCCTCAGGGATGGTCTGATCAAAAATCACAACTTTTTCGATAACTCAGCCATTTCTTGACGGATCATTGTCATCTTCGAACTCGACTCAGACATTGACGAGACTGAACTGTGTAGAAAATTTCATCACGATCTGACTCTCCTTTCGAAAGTTATCGAATAAACGGCCGGACGGCCGGACACACTTACCGATTTTAGTAGTGTACTCACTTTTTGAGTACACAAAAAGGAAGAGAGTCAGTGATACGACATCTATTAGGATCTATTTATATGTAGTCTAGTACGGACTAGTCTAAATGATATAAGCATATGCTGGGGAATCTGAATTTACGACAAATTCAATTTAAAAAAAACAAAGGAATTTCTAAAAAAATCAAAATTGCAGTGGTATTAGCGGTATAGTGATGAAGTGATGTAACTTTCAATTGTGATAGAGGTATAGCGGTATAGCGGTATTCCCCTTAGGGGTGGGACTTTACCTTTACTTTATTCGTAACTAAGTAACTACCGTAGTTACTTGGTTACTTGTAAAAGTAACTACAGTAGTTACTATTTATCAGTAACTAAGTAACTATTACAGTTACTTTACTTTACTTTACTTAAGTAACTATTATAGTTACTTTACTTTACTTTACTTAAGTAACTATTATAGTTACTTTACTTTACTTAACTAACTAAAAAGTAAAGTAAATATGGCACCTCCAATACAGCTATACCGCTTTACCGCTATACCACTATACCGCTGAACTTTTTCTTTTCTTGATGAATCGATTTTTTTCTTTTTTTGAATTTGCCACAAATTCAAATCCCCCATGAAGTCGATATAAGTATGTACGGAGTGAGATTCGAACATCCATATCGTATGTTACTTACCTATGCTTTACCCGATTGAACCATATGATCAAGTGATCAACTTGAATATGTCAATAGACATTCTAAGATGCTAATTAATATAGTTTGACTTACACTTTCTCAAGTTTGAATATTAATAAAAAATATTTAACATACAATAGCAAATCAGCTAAATAAAGCTAAATAAAATTGATTGAGAATTTTTTAAATTTCCTTCAAAAGAAAAAGTTTTTGAACCTCGATATTTGTAAAATATTATTTTCTATTTGAAAAACAATTAAAATTTAAAAAGAAAATAAAAATAATCTATATTTTCAAAAAAATCTTGCTTTTCATATCATAGTTTACGTATATCTTCATTTACAACATTTCCGATTTGAATTTGAAAGTGGCCTATATTTCTGATTTAAATCTCATTTTCACTTCAAATCATCAGATTCTATTTTAAGATATAATAAGATTCTCATACAAAAATACTAAAATTCATTGTTCTAATAAAACTTTTCTTAATTATTATTACAGTCTGAATATCTAAAGGACGTACAATAGACAACCCTCGCTGGATATATTGTTATAGTCTTTTCGTATAAACCAGTCTAAATGAGTGGCTCGTATACTTAAATGTAACCAAAAGAGACTACTTAATGAGTTTTGACTATTCTGAATCAAAACTGGCGTTAGTTCCTTAAAAACAATCAGTCATGAATAGTACTAGTGGCTCTTCATATTAGTTTGGATTGCTATTGAAAATAATCTGGACTAGTCAGCTATTCAATATTGCCAGATCAAATGTTCGAATCCATCCATGTTCTCCTTTTCTTCTGAGTTTTATCGTTGGACTGACGCGTCTGGACAGTATGATTATACAAAACGGACTAGTCATGTCGGGCGTCCTCGCCTATTTTTTGCTTGCCTGGGATATGATCAAATATTGTTATTTCTTTTTTCTTAATAATTTCGAAAGTCAATTTCAATTCAGTAAATTCATTGAACAAATCATCTTCATTCAAACCTTTAATTTTTGTAATTTCGATACATTGTTGAATCTGGTTCCAAGTAAGATTTTCAATTCCATAACCAAAATGTCCAGCAGCTTCTAGAAAAGCAACGTTTTTTGGAAACGTACTTGTCAATATACTCTAAAAATGTCGAGATAAATCGTATGAAAGAAGCTTGTAATTCGGCACTAGTATCAGATGACATTCGATTTAACAGTTGTCGACATTGAATTCCAAATGAAGTGATGTTATTACTCAATATAAATCAATTGCCGTAATAGATTCTTTTTGTAGTTCCAAGTTCGTTTTCTGAATTGCAAAAAGAATTTGATGTAAAAATGTTAAAATGCATAAAGTTTCTTCAGATTCAGATTTTTTTCTAATTGTTCAGGAATTTCTTTGTTTGATCGACCGGTGAAGTATTCCTTCACTGACTTTTATACAAGTAATAATCAATCAATCGATGAATACAACGATAACCATCGAATTTTGATGTGCTTTATCAAGACCTGAAAAACATTATAAGAGAAAATTATTAGTCTTTCCTAGTATCTACTCTTTAGTTAAGAAAACCTTACACGAAAATCGTGTTCGTAAAATTCATAGTAACTTTTGAGTTCTTCAACTCTCTTAGCTGAGCAAGAAAAATGAGCGCAGGTCATCATAAGAAATTTTTCAACATCAACCGTCAGTTGCTGATGACCCCATTTTATCCCGTTATGTAAAATATGACAATAGCAATTACCTGAATGAATCAACTATAAAATAACAAGATACATAGTTACCATTTAACTCAGTTTACATTTAAATAGATTTTCAATTTGATTATGAAACAATGTATAGACACTATGAGTATTACCCATGTTAACATTTGTATTATCAGCTCCGATTGATGTAAGACCATCCAAGAGCAAACTAGAGTTTTTTATTGCAGTCATAAGATTTTCAAAGGTATTCGCGACTGATTCATTGGCATCTTCGATCAGATCAATTATACCTTTTAAGCATAGAAAAATGAAACATTGATGTTTCTAGAAAAGCATAAACTGAAGAATAGCAACCTTTTTTCAACCCAAACTTTGAAAAATATTGTACAAAAACTGGAAAAAAACTTCGTATTGCATTTGTTCGATGCGTCGAACATGATCGGAAAAAACATGCTTCTTTCACTTCAATTAGAATTTTTTGAGTGAAATTTGGAGCTAAAACATAAACGGCAATGGAGGAGCATTTTTTTTCGCCCAAAAAACATTGATTTTCCAATTTCAGAACAAGATGAGAAAATGGTTTTGATGACATGTGTTGTGCATAGTTGAGATGAATAAGAATGACTATGTTTCACTCCATGGTATACAAAAGTACCTTCGGCAGCTGCTATTTCTTCACTCTCCTTATTTGGCTTCATTGTTAATGTTATCAATAGTCGATTTATACTAAATGATTTCATGTTATTGATGTGTTCTTTTTCCTTTATATGTCGATCAATGTCATTTTTTCCACCATAATATATTGAAAAAGGTTCATTGCAAGCCATGCAAAGAACTTTAGTTGAATCTAATTTATACTCGTAAAAATGAACTGAGGTGAGAATCAAGTAACCATTGTGGATTAAAGACACCTTTTTTTCTTCATTTCGCAAGCACTTGGTAAAACTTCCACATTTTTATTTTCATTTGACTTTAGAATTGATGTTGTTGTTATTGAACTTTCATGATTATTTTCACTTTCAATTATAATCTCACTGTCCATTGATCCGAAAAATAATTCAAACTTTTGGGCTGAGAGCTTTTCATCAAATAAAACACAAAATAAGTCCAAAAAGAGCTAACTATCAGTTGGAAGCAGAATGATGTATTTATTTCACGAATAGAAATTAAGAGAATACAGCCTCTTTACATAACTTTAGTGTGTTTTCTTTCACTGATCACATGAATCATATAATAAGAGTAATGAATATGAATCATTCCATAAACATATGCAACTGATAAAAATTGTTCAACAATAAAATGTTTTATTGTGTACGCATTTTTGTCGTACATCAAGTTTTTATATGAAAAAGCGGAAAAAAACGGAACAGCGGAAAAAACGCGGAAAAAAAGCGAAAAGGCGGAAACTTTCCGCAAAAAGCGGAAGAGGTAGCAACCCTGCATCTCTATTAAATCTCATTCGTTAAGACTAATTTTTTTCGACAAAATATCGTCTTTTAATCCTCTACAGGAACGTATAGATCGTTTAAAATGTAACTCTATTTCGTTCGTATCACACGATGAAGAGCAAAGATCTCCAAAAAGTTGTTTTTTGCAAGTACGAAAATGGTGAGGGTTCAATAAAGATTTACCGTGATTTAAATGGTACCTTGGGACTCGACACCATCAGAAGATGATGTAAGATGATCCAAAAACTCAAACACAAACTCGATCAAAAGAAGATTGTGTCAGTTCGAAGTTTGGCTAAACAATACGGCATTTCAAAATCGAGTGCACATCGAATATTGAAGGAAGACCTGGAACTGCACGTCTATAAAAAGAAAATCGAACCAAGACTCACCGACGAACACAAACACAAACGAAAACAATTCGGCAACTGGGTTGGTCATAATTTTCGAAAAGAAGATACGATGCGTATTTTATTTTCAGGTGAAAAGATGTTCGATGTTGACGGTATTTACAATACCCAAAACGAATGCATTTGGACAGGCAGTCGTGCTGAAGCAAATGATAGAGGTGGCATCAAAATGAAACAGAAATTTCCTCAAAAGGTCATGCTCTGGCTTGGTGTTTGCTCCAAAGGAATGACATCCTTGGCTATTTTCGATCAAGGAACGGTAGATCATACTGAGTATATTCAGAATATTCTCCCAGTAGCACTAAAGTACGGAAATAACACCTTTGGAGACCATTGGACATTTCAACAAGACAGTGCGAAAGCTCACATCCATCACCTAATACAAAAATGATGTAAGGATAACTTTCCATCGCTCATAAATAAAGATCATTGGCCACCGAATAGTCCCGATGTAAATCCTTTGGATTATTCTATACGGAATAAATTAGCACGACTGATTAACTGGACGCACGTAACATCGAAAAACACAATTTTTAACGAATTGAAACATGCAGTTAAAAAAATTCGCCAATATGTTGTTTTGCAAAGTTGTTTATCTTGGACGGTTCGTTTAAAGTGTGTATTAGAAAATAATGGATGCTTTTTAAATAAATAAAAAATATATCATTTTGTAAAGCATAAAAAGAGCTATCTTTTGAAAAACAATCCGTCTAAACAAACGAATGTTGAGAGAGATATCATTAAAATAGAGAGAGACTTATTCTTTCTGGGACATCCGCCGTTACAAATGAAAATAAATTAAGAACATGAATGTACAATAATACAAAAAAGAAGAGAGATCACAATAAATGTAGCACGAAAAACTAACAAATTAATATTTAACTAATTACAGTGGCTCCAAAAATTGTTCGTACAGCACCAGGGACGACAACATCTGAGGGTAAATTTCACAAATATTATCTCTCTTAGTATCGCGTGGGATACCCTTTCATCCGTAAACACTCATACAAACGATTTGGTACAGAATCCACAAGTTTTTTAAGTTACTTCTTGGCCAATAGCCAGCCACTTTTGAAGAAGGTATCGTTTTCGTTCATCTTTGTTCTTTGGTTGGCGTTTTTCCATTCTCCTTTCTAATTCATAGCTACCACATGTGTACAATGGGATTGAGATCAGGTGAGAAAGGCGGCCATTTGAGCACTTCAATGTGCTTCTTCTTCAAACAATACTTGATAATGGCAGTTGTATGTTTCGGGTTGTTATCATGCTGGAAGACAAATTTATCATCGAGTCCCAGTTTTTTTTCCGATTGTATTAGATTTGTTTCGAGTATTTCTCGATAGGCAAATCTATTCATCATTCCCTCGATAAAATGTAAGCTTCCTACTCCAGCACACGAAAAACATCCCCAAACCATGACACTACCGCCTTGATGCTTGATCGTTGGTACCGCGCATTGAGGACTAAATTCTTCTGTCTTTGATCTCCATACCATAATCTTCCCGTCTGAAGAAAAAATATTGAATTTCAATTCATCGGACCACAAGATGTCTTTCCAATAGCTGAACGGCTTTTCCATCATTGTTTTTGCGTATTGAATCCGTTTTGCTCGATTGGGCTTGTTCACGAATGGTTTTTTTCGGGCCTGCTCGACCATATAAACCGATTTCATGGATACGATTTCGAACGGTGTTAGAATGAATAATGACACCAATCTCTTTTTCGAATTCCTGCTTCACAGATGCAGCAGATTTTCGTCGGTCGCCTTCGATTATGCATTGAATGATGCGATCGACAGCAGCTGTAGTCTTTCTTTTTCGCCCTCGACCTTTCATGTTTAAGACACACTTCGTCCTTTTGTACCTTTTTATGATGCATTGAACAGTTGAATGTGGCATCAATATTTTTTTCGCAATTGTTGTGTAAGAATCGCCGTTTTCAAAATGCTGGATAACAAGCAAACGAAGATTAGAAGAGTGCTCTTTTCGTCTAGGCGCCATGACCAATTTTATCGAAGAAAAACATTTTTGCGATCGCAACGATTTAACGGTTTTCATAGATAAATGACAGATACAAACGTATTGATTCTTTCCTTGATCTATCATGATAATCAATACAAGGTTTCGATAGAGATCAGCATTGTCTCTGATGCTGTACGAACAATTTTTGTACGCAAAAAATCGGACTATTAGGATCTTTTCTCTGTCTTTTTTGAAGTAAACAGAGTGAAATGAATTATTCGATCAATCAAATAGACAAGGGTCAATGGCGGATGCAATAGTGAAAACCGCATCTCTCAGCGATACTCCATCAACGAGAAACAATGATACATGAAAAACATACGTGCTGTACGATCAATTTTTGGAGCCACTGTACATGATACTAATTTTCATTTTCTTCAACTTGTTCAAAATCTGATTTAAAAAAGTCGAATATATTTATTATACTAGGTGCTGAATTATCATCTACTTGTTCTTTTTGATAATGATCATTTGAATTCATTGTCAAGTCAGGCTAGTCTACATCATCATCATTATACAGCGTGATCCATAAGTTCTCGGATCAGCTAATTTTTTTATTGAATAAATGGTCTTTATAAAAAAAACTTATTTCATTAAATGTTGGAAGTAGTCACCCTTGTTCGCTATGGAAAGTTTCGTTCGGTCAACCCAATGGTTAAATACCTTTCGAAATTCATCTTGTGATATAGCAGGCATTGCCTTGGTTACAGCTTGTTGTAAATTTTTGGAATCAGAATAACTGTTTAATTGCTGTTTTAAATAACCAAAAGTCTGATGGTGCCAAGTCGGGTTTGTCCTTTTTTGTCCTTGCTCTTCCGAACATCCGGCTATTCGACCGGGTGTCCGGAAGATGATATTGAACATAAAATCGTTTTTCCGGATGTCCGGAATGAAAACCGTCCAGATGTTCGGAAAGAAAATATACAGGATGTTCGAAACAAAAAGTGACGCATGTTCGGAACAAAAAGTGACCGATGTTCGGAACGAAAAAGTACTGGATGTTCGGAACATAAAATAACTGATGTTTGGAATGAATTTTGGTATATGTTTTTTAGCATAGAAAACCATTTATTCATATAGTACAATTTAAGTCGTTGAGTGTGGCGAACTCTTCTTATACATTCAGTTAGAGATTTTTTTAAATAGTGTAGAGTTCAGTCGTTAGTGACAGATCGTACAGATAGATAGTGGGAATGAGTAGTAAAACTAAAAACCTCTGTGTTTTATAGAGGCTAGTCTCTTGAACATAATTAGCTGGAACGATGACTCGCTCAACATACTGAATTGATTTGGTGAATTATATAATGGTCATAAGCAGCTACTGTTCTTGGAAGAAAGAAAGGATGTGCACATGTATTTATTATTCTTTGAATGCTTTGCTGCTGAAAGACGAAGAAGTCAACGGTAATTATTGGTGTTAGAGAAGAATCGTTACCGAACCAACCTTTTGTGTCTTTTTCTCTATGTATCACTGTCATCTTATTTTAGATTGGTATCATTACGCGCTGGAAGAGCATTGCTCTCACAGCAATAGCTACATCCTCTCCTGTTTTGCCATCCATCAAATATAATAATACAAAAATGCGTTACCGAGCAAAATCACGCTCCACCGCAAATTTTTCTGTCTCTCGTTCCCCAGTTAATAAATTTTTGTTGTCTTATGTATTTTTGTGAAAGTCTATGCTAGGAAGTAAAAGAAAATAAACTATGTTCTTTAAAAAAAGCAATTCTTTTCTCTTCTGAATATCCGGAGTATTTTCTTCCGAACATCGGTCATTCACTCTTACGTACACCAGTAGGTTTCATTCCGAACATCGGCCATCTTTTATTCCGAACGTCCGTCATTTTATCTTCCGAATATCCTGTGTTTTCCGTTGCGAACACCTGGACGACTTTTCATTCCAAACATCCGGACATTTTCAAAGAAACTGGAGTTCGGAATAGACTTCTCTGACCGATGTCCGTAAAAAAAGGCAAGGATGAAAAGGGACCACCCCGCCAAGTCAGGTGATTAAGGGAGATGAGGCATTACCATAACTCCTACTTCTTGAAGAAATGTTTTAATGTCTTTTATATGATGTAGTTTTGCATTGCCATGATGCAATTTGATGACGCGCAAACCAGATTTTGGTCTTTGCCATCAGATATTTTTAAATAAAAGTTCAAGGCAATTTTCTTTTTAGTAAGTATCAGATATTGAGTTGCCGGATTCAACCATGTGAATTAACTCCGGTCCCATTGTTCTAAAGAAAATTACGAACATGTTTTTCTGATCGGATTGATTTTATTTGGCCACTTTTGGTGGACTTACACCTTCAGAACATCATGCCATATTGGATTGTTTTGTTCCGATACTAGAGTGATCTATCCAGGTTTCATCGCCAGTGATAATGTTGCATAAACGCCATTGACCGGACTCTAGTTTTGCAAGATTTTCTTGACAAATTTCCATTCGCTGTCGCTTGTGTTTTTCTGTTAATTCATGTGGTACCCATCTTGCACATAGCTTCCTCAATTTTAATTCATCGTGAATAATTCTGTTAATATTACCATATGAGCCGCCATGGTTGAGTGGATATGTTATTCGACACATATTCATAACGTACTGTGTTCAAGCCACAGTCTCACCAATCATGAAATAACCCTGAACAAGTTACTAACGGCTAATTGTTCCGGATGACTCATCCGATAGCGTATCGATTATATCATTAGTCAGTATACAGAGTCAAAACAATAACTTCAACATAGATGTCACGGCCACGTGATCCTATGATGATCGCCAACCCATATCATTAACGGGGAAAGCGTTGGACGAATGGGGTGCAGATACCGTCGTCTGTAAAAGAGAAAACACGATAGAACCTGGCTGCTTGT